CATACCCGACCCCTGGTTGGGTAGGAATTTAGAGAAGAAACCCCACCCCCCGAATATTGGGGGGGGAAAAAACGGTGGGATCCCCCCATAAAATTCCCAACCAGACCCTTCATCCGAGCACAGGCCTGGCAGGGCAGGAAAGGGGGTGGGGGACACACGAGGGAGCGCACCCCCACCATACCAGGCCACTTGCCCTCGCCACTGGGAAGATGCGTTTTCCAGGGTCAGCCCTGGAAAAGCACCTTGTCCTCGTGCCCATGGGGACAAGGGCCTGTTCCCCATAATCCGTGGGGGGTCTGTGGGCAAGGGGGCTTATTTGCATTGGGCTACCCATTTAATAAAAGGGCACCCAGGTGCGGCACCCCTTGTGAATGAGTAATATTACCCAGGTGAAATGGATATGTAAATATATTCCAATGACTACAATAATATTCACATAAAGACCCCTAGATCTGAGGATTCTTAGACAAAAGAAGTAGTTCCATCAGCAATATACATTTATTGGTAGGGTTACATATTTACAAATAAAACACAAAACAATATTTACAAGACAATGTACAAGTGTGGTGGAGTTTTACCTCTCAGCTTCTCGCCTGTTCATACTGAATGCCTTTTGTGTTCCAGGTAAAAAGAGAGCACATGGCTTGCTAACAATACCTTATATATCCTCCTTTCTGTACACTGCCTACCAAATGTACAGTGGGTGTAACCTGATTGGAGGATTTAAATGAGGTTGCTGTTTACCCCCCCATGTGAGATGTGATAAGCAAACAAAACAATAGCCAGGAGTTTAAAGCAGACAGATTCACAGTAACACAATTGAGGAACTGAGAGCCACATAACATGCAGATAGATGCAGTCAAATATATATATATTATATTATCTAATTAATATATTACACAAGCAAAACTTTATACGGCAACAGTAAGGGGTAACTTAATGGAAAGCACTCAGTACAGAGGCTTCCCAATTCATTCCAAAACTGTTGATAGTAAATATTTAATTATCAACCAGTTTCTGAATGGGGAAAAGCCTTTTGTAGTGAGTGATTCTCCCCATTGAGAAAGTCATGAATGAACAGGAAGTGACGTAAAACACTTCCTGTTCATTAATAACTGGGGACACATACTACCATGCATCCCTAGTTATTTACAAACATTGGAGTGATCAGCTTATCCATGGAGTGATCAGCTGATCCATGGAGACACAAATCCCTGCCTGGAGCAGCTCGACTGGAAGAGGATGCTGCAGATGCCAGGGGGTTGGGTTTGGGGTGCCGGCCGGAATTTTCAGCCGCTGATGACCGCTATTAATTTTAAAGCGGACCGTCGGGAATAGCTCTGACACAAGTTCATGGTCACTAAAGCGACCATGAGCTTATAGCAGAACGGTAAATGCCACCGACGTAAGGCATACTGACCTGGCAGTCTGGGAACAGTTTTGTTCCGTCGGAGGCAGGGAAACAGTTAAACAGTAACTGCACCTGAGTTCTAACATCACAGCATATCTATCTTGTAAGAACATCAGAATGGACAATTGTACCCCCCTCGGTTTGTTGGAGGTGTAACTTGGAATTGGGGACCCTGTTCCACATTTTCCGGTACTGTGCTAAACCTCGTACTTTCTGTTTAACTGATACCTATATACAGGCTGCCTCATTTTAAAACTGTGCTCAGAAACTACTCCTCCCCCACGGACATGTGGGCATGCTTGGAGATGCCCATCCTCTTGGGGGTTTCGGTGGCCTGGTTTATGCGAATGCATCTATTCCCCTCTTGATCTCATTTTTGCTTTCTCTCTTGCTTGACTATTTTCTTCCTTATGCTTTTTCATCGGTTTTCTCTACACCGGAGATGTTTGTCACACCACAGAGTACAGTGCAGAGCTTGGATCACTTGTGTCTGACATGATGTAGCAAAAGTCAGTGGCCCTCCTAGAGTAATGCTGAGTATTTCTTAATAATTCCGATGGTAAAACTAGTGCAGCTCCCTTTTCTTGCCCACTGGACTAGGTGGTCCACAGTTACTCCAACCAATGAAAAGGTCTGGTGGGTGTGTTTTAGGTGTAATGGACTGTTTTATAATGCACACTGAATACACGCTTATGCCAGCTATTCTGAGTATATCAATCGTTCCATATAACAAGGTTTCACAATCCTAAAACCAGCATATTATTTATCCTGTTTTAGCTACTAAATATGAACGGTCTGGGGTGTGTCATTATCCTAGGAGGTCTAATGCATCTTCCCAGCCTTTTGAACCTTGCAATATATTTATTTGGTGTTTGGTGTGTTCTTCTATTTTATTGTAACCATCTTAGATGAAACCAATTATATTACTATAGGAGTTATGGAATATGAATGCAACTTAACTGTGTGGCGTTTAGGTCAATACCCCAGCCTTACCGATGCATATTTCTAAACTGCATATAAGACTATTTACAACATGACCATTTGACATTACCCCATCTGGGGTACTTTAAGGGGTGAATGGTCAAAGATGGGCAAAGGGCAGAGTAACTTATGTTGTCTTGAAGGGAGTAAAGCTTTTTTTTTTTTTTTTTATAATAATGCAAGACCTTGTAGATAATGTTGGGATTGGGGGTGACTTAGCTTACTACATATTATTGCAGAATATTTTTTTGAATCTCTCCATCTTTTCATGTTTTTGTCAGGGTTATTTAAGGGCTTTGTAGGTCTGGTTGAAAAAAGCATAACATGCCATTGACTTGTGTCTTTTTTATTATTTTCCTATATAAGGAGATGGATGTAGTTAGTGAGAGTCTACTGAGTTTATATTGCAGGTTTTAATAAGTATTGATCTGTCCTTTTTTGTGTTTTGATGCTCGTTGGATAATAACTACTTAAATGATAGCTGTGTGCACAATCCAAACCGGAGCTGGCGGATCGGAGCGAGGACGGGGGAATCTAGCCGTGACAGGATCGAGAGGTGAGCGAACGCCGGTATGTGTTCGCTCACCTCCCGATCTACTGAGCCGACCTGTGACAGTCTCATTGTCACAGGTCGGCTAGAACTATGAGGTGAGTGGAAAGCACTCACCTCATAGTTCTCCTTTTTAAAGCAGTATTAAACTCTCTAACTGTTTTTTTCAATAATGAATCCAGATTAAAGAAATATACATTGCTCAGCAAAGCGTTGCTTTACATTGTTGCCCGAACACTTACAATCAACATGTTTCTGAACAGCTGCTTCCAAGTCTCTCAGCTCAGCTTCCCTAAACATCCTGTCCAGTACAAGATCACAAAGGACAGTGCAGAATCCAGCAACTGTTCATCTAGTAGCTTGGAGGAGAGGGGGCCAGGGGAATGGGCAATAGCTTGATTTGCTGTGTATTGTGTGTTTGTGCAGACAAGTGGCTTATTAGCACACACAAAGGTGACTGCATAGCACTCTGCTTGAGAAAGGAGTCAAACCAAAAAAGGGGAAGTCCGGACCAGTGCTCAGGAGGCCAGATGATTTTGCAGGAAACGAAAACTTTTAAACATCAAGGAGCAGCATTCATTGTAAGTGATTTCACCAGCATTTGACAATCATTTTGAGTTTATCACTTTAAACATGATGTAGATAAATGATACTGGTTGTAGGATGGAGGTGGAGAACAATTTTTTGAGGCCACCAAATTCACATACTTTGGAGGCGGTAAGTAATTTTTATTCAGCAATGAGAGGAAGTTATAGTATAACTAGGTGGGTTATAGCAAAAATACCAATGACATATAATGTAGACGTTTGAGTCCAAGAAGACCTGACAAAAAAAATAAATTAAATAAATTAAATAAAAAAATAAATACAAAAAGATCAAGACGTTCAAATGAGTATATGGATGGGTTGAAAACTATAGAATGGAATCTGCACAATCACACGGTTACTTCAAGTTGCACTTCCATTTTACAGGGGAATTTGGGGCTATACAGATCACTGTAAATTAGCAATTTCTGTAGCATTCAGTGAGACTTCTGCATAGAGCTGCAGCTAATGATTATTTTCCAAATCGATTAGTTAGCGGATTATTAAGTTCGATTAATCGGATAAAAAATTAAATAAAATAAATTTTAAAAAATGGCTCCAGTGATGGGACTTCTAGTTCTGGGCCTGTCTTATCGGCGGCTGTCATCCGCCCACACCTGCTCCTCCTTACTTCTTCTCCCCGCGTCCCTGTGCCGATCGTGGATTTGGGCGGGCGGTGAGCGTGAGGCGCGGAGGAGGAGCAGAGCGTGGATGCGGGCAGGTCTGGCAGCGGCGAGCGTGAGGTGGGGAGGAGGTGTGGCGCGCAGCGTGTGTGGAGCCGTGAACAGGGCCAACCAATCAGAAGCTGAATTAAAGTTGACAACTTTTTCAATCATCGATTAGTTGTTGCAGCCCTACTTCTGCACCTGCCCACAGGTAGTCTAGGCTATTCTTGAGCAAACTGCTGCAGCTGTCTTTGGTTGAAAGGGTGCCTTTCCAGAATGTATGCTCCAACTCTTTCCATAGAAGTTCAATAGAATTCAGATTAGGCCCATAAAAGCCACTTCCAAATAGTCCAATGTTTTTGTACTAGGCCATTCTTGGGTGCTTTTAGCTGTGTGTTTTAGGTCATTACCCTGGTGGAGATAGTCTTGAGATATCATTGGGAGAATTTATGAACGTGTTTGCGACAAACTTTTTGGCGCAAGACCAAAATGTCATGCTAACTAGCCACAAAGTTAGGTATTTTTAGGGCTGCGGAAATTTAACGATTAATCCCTCGATTAATCGTAAATTTTTTTGATCGATCAAAGTTCTTTTGATCAGTACTCACCTCTCCGCCGGCTTCCGGGTCTTCCTTCGGAGATCCGGTGACGTCCGGACATCGACGTCACCGGACTCCTCCCCCCTTTTTTAATTCTTTTCTTTTCTGACATCGGGAGCTGCGGCCTGACCGTCAGTCAGAACAGAAAAGAAAGGCATTCAATTGCATAGCTAGTTGAACTAGGATCACACTAATCCAGCACTTTATTATTCTGAGTTGCCCCACTCAAGCGGCGGCCATATTGAGTGGGGCACGTGAGATTAATAACGTGCTGGATTAGTGTGATCCTAGTTCATTTTATTACTTCATTGCTGTGCTGTATGTGTATAGGCCAATGTAGTTGGATCTGTAGGTGCGTTATAATTAATCGCAATTAATCGATTTAAATTTTTTTCGATTAATCGAACAGGACATTTTTAATCATTACCAGCCCTAGTATTTTTGCGACATATTAATGTTTGCTACTCACTATTTTCCGACAATTTGTATAATTTCTCAACTTATTTATTCCAGCATTTGTGACATTAAAAGACCTCCACACTGTCGCACATCCTAAAAGTCATTTATTAAAATATCTCAAAGATAATTCAGTTTCACATCCTCAAGTCAGCTGAGCAATTGGAACTAGTTAGCTGTCCTCTAGGAGATTCCCAGCAAGCTTGCGACAATTTAGAGACAGAGACAACTCTGAGATAATTTTGAACAATTCAGAATAAAGCATAAACTAGGATAATATATCGGTCACTATATACAAATCAGGAATATAACAGTTTAAATGACACTGATAATACAACCAAATTCATAAATTCCCCCCATTCTGCTTTGCACATATTCAAAGTACCCCGTGTCAGATGCAGCAAAGCAGCCCTAAAACATAACCAAACCTTCTCCATGTTTCATTGTAGGTATGATGTATTTTTCTTTTGAAAGCTTCTTTTTTTTGTAAATATATTCACAATATATTTGTGAATACCGGGCTGATGTGACGTACCAAAAAGCTCCCGTCTTGTCTCATGTGTCCAAAAAAAATTCTCCCAGAAGCATTTTGGCTTGTCAATTTATGCATTTTACCAATTTTCAGTCTGTATTTTTTATGTTTTTTTCTTTCAGCAGTGGAGTCCTCCTGGTTCTTCTTCCTTTGAGTCCAGTATCACTCAAAGTGACAGTCACTGATATACCTGGACCTATCTATCTATTTTCAGCTTCTATCTATTTTCCTTGGCTCTTTGTCTACCATGCATGCTATTCTACTTTCAAACAGGTGGTCAATTTTTCATTTATGGCCACAACCATATACCTTTAAACTTTCGAATTAGATTTACAATTATAGCAGCATATACATCAAGCTGTTTATCCTCTTCACGACCCATGATGGGATAATCCTGTCATGAATCTTCAAGGGGTGAAACAGACTCCTGCTGGGACTCTGTTCATACTTTCTACAGCTGGTGGCTGGCATTACAGTAGAAGCAATTCTGTCGCCAGATCGCTTCTACAATCCGGTAAAATGACCGCTCCCCGTGCCAGACACCCCTGCCATGTTTCCCGTGCTCCGCTGCCCCTCCTAGAGGACCGAGACCAGCATCTCTGGTGTCAGCAGGAAGCTGGGGAGGAGGGTGGTGAACGTCTTTTCACTGATCTCCTTCTATGGGACCGAGAGTGACGCGTATTGCATCACTTCTGGTCCCTGAGCTCTGATTGCTGGGCTCCTGAAGCCCAGCAATAAGCTAAAATGAAGTGTGATCTGCACTTCAATAGCTTATTTAGAGTGGAAAGGTGCAAAAAAAACAAAAACTGTTTTTAAAAATAAATATATTAAATGTAAAGATAATAATTAAAAAAAGAAATGAAAGTCCCCCACCCTTTCGAGCACACGCGTCGTCACGTAAACACGCGTCAAGTGCTCCTACATACGAAAATGACGACTGCGCTACACATGTTTGGTAGCGCTGCACATGCCAGAGTGAGAGCAATAATTATTATATTTATGCGTATCTCTAAACTGATGACCTGCAGGGGCTTTTAAAGCATCGTGTATGGACCTTTTGGGATAGTGAATTCTGTTGCAGTTTCACGGACGCACTTCATTTTTAACCAAGGCATGTTTGGTATCTATTTACTCATTGCAACCTCATCTTTTATATTTTAGAAAAAATAATGGTTTTATATAGTGCTTTGGGGCACTAAATTTAATGTAAGTGCATTTTTCACGAAATTTTGGGGTTTGATAAGTTGTGCTAATGTTGTGCAACATAAAAATTTGAAATGGCCACCATTTTATTCTATAGGGTCTTTTGCTTTCATAAAATATATAATGTTTGGGGGTTTTAACTAATTTTTAGGCCTAAAATGTGGATTATAACATGTAAACAAAAAATAAAAAAAAAGGCCTTCAGCCTTAGATGGTCCTATAGCCTTTACCTTTGACATGCTGGTCTATAATTCCCAGACAACTCTTTCCTTTGCTTTCTCTGGTGCAACTTTAGTGTGATACACTCAATGATACCAAACAGCAGAGTGACTGACTACTATTCCCCATCTTTAATTATGCTGAGTGACTGATTACAAGGCTCAAGATACTAATTACAGAAAACAGTTTGTTAGAAATAGTCCACAGGAATTAATGGGATTGCCAAGTGCATGCATGAATAGAAAGATTTATATACAGTGGCCAGGCATTTTAGCGAGCGATATCTCCCTTGATCAGGTACAGGAGATTATTACACTTGGAGTGGGGATATTGAGGGCGATGGGAGGGTATTTACTCATATGCAACACCTCTCCCCCATCTCTAGTTAAACATTATGGCTTGTATATGGTGAGCAAGAAGGTAAGATAATATTTGGATTGGACAGTGATAGAGCTTAAAGGGTTTCTAAACCCTCACTTTTTTTGCATATATCTACTGCTAGCAAGCAGTAAATATATGGAAAAGTAAAAAAAAGTTGAAACTTAGCTGTGTCTTTCCAGCATGCTCCCGCCCGAAAGTCTGAAAGGCCACAAAGCACCGTGGGGCGGGCGCATGCGCAGTTTGGATTTTCGTCTGGGAGATGCGGAGAGACAGCGCTGGATCGGAGACCCACCGCAGGAGGCAGCGCTGGATCGGGGACCCACCGCAGCGCTGGAGAGAAGGCTGAAAACGACAGGAAAGAAGATGATGACTAAGAGACATCATTTGAGGTAAGGGCTTTAATTAACTTTGGGGGGAGGGAAAAAAATGTTTGCCTTTTTAATGTCACTTTAATCATTTTGGTGAGGTCATCTTACTTTGCTCTCTTCTATCAACATGTTCATTGTCAGCAATATGTACTGCAGCAGATCCTGATTAGCTGTAATTGCTGGCCTTCCCTCTCCCAGTTTAAGTGCTACTATACAGCAGAATAAGGGATACTTGTATCAAGATACATTACCCTTATTGCATTATGAAAATGAAATTGTTTCTTAATAAATCCTTACTTTGACTAATTACTTCTGTCTTCTTCTGTCCGGAGTTCAGTTTTAATAATAATTTTATTAATATAAATGAAAAGTTTTAGTGTATGATATGCATAATTACTTGCCGTGTACTTCATTAAATGCAAATTGTTTTTTGACTAGTTGTGCTTCACAAACATTGTGCTCTAGATTCACTCTCTCAATGCATATTTATTAGTCAGGTCAGACCAAATAATAATTACATGTCTAGGTAGATTATCATGCATCAGATTATATTTTAGCAATCTTTTCTAATGTCATTATCTGAAACATATGTATAGGAAATAATTGAAGCGAATGCAGATCTCTATTATTATTTATTTTTTTTAAACCGAAAAACTGTAGAAAATATAAGTCTCACCAGCAATTGCTTACAGATAATCCTTACAATAATTTAAAATGCGTGGCTACTGAATGTGCACTATAGTTTCCCTTTAGCACATCTTATAAGATTTTGAGATTTTCACACATTTCCCTGTCCATGTTACTTTATTGTGAATGTCTACAAATTAGCAGAGGGCAGATTAACACCTCTTCAAAGGTTCTCAAGTTGAGTCATAAACATTTTATATCTGCACACTGAAGACCTTACAGTATTCCTGTCAAAACATGTTTTTCTGTTCAGTGCCATTGCACATTTAGTCACATGAACATTAACATTTAGTTTGTGACTATATATAAAGAATGCCCCACTCCATTTGAACAAAAGCCCTGAAATACGATAGTTGGCATTCTTTTATACATCCCATTATCCAACTGCATTGCCTAACTGGTACACGTGAAAATAAAGTGTATGTGAGCGCACAAATGCAAGCTCACATGCTCAAGCAGTACTTATTAAGTAGATAGCGTATTAGCATTTCCATTTGTCAAAAATCAATAATTTCTACCTTTTTTTTTTTTTTTTAATTTTTTCCTTTTTTTTTTTTTTTTTTTTTTTTTTTTTCTGTGCTTTTATTCCTAGGTCACATGACCACACAGCTTTATTTCAGTGGCCAGGTCAGATTCTGACTCGGACAGGCAGGAGAGGCTGCATGTTGACATTGAGAGCCACTGTCAATCACCAAGGCACGACTAGGTGGGAGCGTGCTGGTAAAATGACTACGGGAGATAGAAGCAGGCTGTGCTTCCACATGGCGTCTTGTACCTCCTTGCAGCAAGCCAAGTGATGCAAACAGACCTTCAAGCACACATGCTTGCAATGGTCCACAAGGAAGAATGGGGACTGGCAGGATCACTTGGTAGTTCTAAGGAAACAAGACAATTTAAAAGATACCAGATTATTATAATAAATATCCACAAGGGAAAACACACACATGTCAAATCAAATATTTTGGGATAACATGCACTTTAATGTGTACCTACATGCAGTAAAGGTAAACTTTACCCTTATCTTTAAAATTACAACCAAGACACCTTTTAGAAATGTTTGGTAATGACAATCTACAAACACATACTAGATAATTACAGACTTTGTAGTCTTTGCATACCTTATTTTCTTTTCCTCCCCATTCTTCTCACAGTGGCCTTTTTAACTAAGGACAGGTTACTAGATCTCCATTTTCTTCTGGAACTTTGGCACATGTGACTAGGACATGTGACCATGCACATCATCTCAGGGGAGGAAAATGCCTTTCCCTGAGATCTCGTGAGATTACCCAGCAATGCTCTGCTGATGTAACCAGAATGCAATTCTTGGGCACGATTACATCATCTGTGCCAAGTGGACCAGGAATTCAGGGGGAAAAATACAAATTGTAAGTAAAATAAAAATATGTTTAGCTAATGAATGTAAGATTTCATATCGGCAGGCAGAGCTGTATGCTGATGTGATTTTTAGTCAAAGGGGGTACAGGTCCACTTTTTTTTATTCTTTGCCTAGCACTTAAATGAAATGTTTGATAATACTCCCACTTAGCTGTGTGGCTTGCATTGTAGACATTTTAAATCACAGAAGTAAAAAGAGTTTGTACTTGTTGATTTGTTTAGCTGAGAAAATCTGTCACTCTATCTCTTTACTCATCTGTCTCCCTACCTATCTCTCTCTCCATCTATCTGCATTATCTATCATCATATTCTCAGTGAATTGACAAATAAGATACTCTGTCTAGGCAAAAAGCACTTGGTTGCTGCTGAATTTCTGTTTTGCAGTTATGCTCAATTGATTTTGCTCAACCTGATGAGATTTGTCAAATTATTTAGCTTTTAGTTTGCTAGTTAATTGTTTTTTTTTTTTAATTTTTTATAATGTTATCTCTCTTTGTGTGTGTCCTTACTTATGCTCCCCTGCTTTACCCTGCACCACTTGGCAGTAGTTACCCCTATACTGTAGTTCCTAAAGTTTTTATCTACATTTTGCAAAAAGATAATGGAATATATTGCAGCTTATAAGTCTTTAGATGTGGTGGCTGCATTCGATAAAGGGGAAAAAAGTTTTTATTTTTTTTATTTAACCTGTTCATCTTGTGATTCACACCTTCCGATCCCTGAGTGGAAGCCATGGTTTTCACCTAGGTTAGACTTTAGGGCTAGTTCACACCAACCACAGTGCGTTCCCGGCCCGATTGGTGCCAGAGCACACTGGATCGCATTCCAGGCCGGCTCACTTTGTTTTGGGGCAGGAAGGGCAGCCACGCCCCTCCGGCTGCAATACGATTGCCCGCATCGCAATGCGTGGCACATCAGTGCCTGTGTTCCAGTGCATGCACAATTTTTTCTGACTGCATGCACTATGCACCATTAGTGACTGAATGCTGCATGCGCTGTTTTTTCTGACTGCACAGGACCGGAAAGCAGGCACTGATGTGCCACACATTCCGGTGTGGACGATCGTATTGCGCCCAGAGGGAGTGGCTGCGGTACCATTGACTTCAATGCACCGCCACGCCCCCTCCCGCCTCAAAACAGTGAGCCCGCCGGCATGCAATCCACTGCGTTCTGGCACCAATTAGGCCGGAACGCACTGTGGCTTGTGTGAAGTAGCCCTGAAACATATCTCTGTTCATCTCCATCACAGGGGGGTGACGAGACAAGTTGTTTACAGAAATAAAATCTATCTCCTATGAAGTGACAAGGACACTGCATTACTGGCAAGATCAACAAGTATTTTCTGTATTTGCTCAAAATGGTCTGAAACAGAAAACAAATACAGTCACCACATCTAATGATTTATACACTGCAATATTTTAACATTTTTTTTCTCCTTGGGTTTAGTTGACCTTTAACTGAATATGGTAGAGTTTAAAGTGGATTTCCACCTTTTTGAAGCCAAATCGGCGTAACACCTACTTTATATTTGTGACATGCTCTCTTTTTAGATTGCATACTTTCAAAGAAATTGCTGTGTACATTTTTAAGTGGGGTTTTTTTTTTTTAAACTTAAAAATCCTCCTTTGCCTCCCCCATGTAATGTTAAGGAGGGGGCTGTTGGAAGTTGTTTACTCTAATAAACCCCGTCTGTAAACTACTTAACCCTGTCTGTAAATCCGTTGTAAACTAGATGTGAACTCTGTCCTAACAAAGGGTTCAAGTCTTTAACCCTTTCTTAGGACAGACAGAGTTCAAATCTAGTTTACAATGGATATTGAAAAATACCAGCACAGTACAGACAGGGTTAATTAGAGTAAACATAACTTCCAACAGCCCCCTCATTAACATTACATGGGGGAGGGGACTGAGCTTCTTCACATTAACATACAATGCTTTTAAAGGAGAACTATGAGGTGAGTGGTTTTCATTCACCTCATAGTTCTAGCCGACCTGTGACAATGAGACTGTCACAGGTCGGCTCAGTAGATCGGGAGGTGAGCGAACACATACCGGGTTCGCTCACCTCTCGATCCTGTCACGGCTCTCTGCAGTGACAGGGGAGGGGCTGGATTCCCTGCTCCCCGCTCGGATAGCGCTGACTGGAGGAACAGACGGGGGAGGGGGTGTGTACAGCTGGCTCTGCCTTTTTTAGATAGGTAGAGCCAGCTGTCAGTCACGCAGCTGGGCGGATCCTGGCACAATTGTCGGGATCCGCTTCAGCTGCGGCGTCTCAGTATAGCTACAGCTCACGGTATACTGAGCCTAGGGGGACGGGAGGACGCTAGTTTGTGTCCTCCCGTAACCCTGAGGAGAACTATGGGGGAAAGACTTAACCCCATAGTTCTCAAGTCTTTAACTTAAAGACTTAAAAGCATTGTATGTTAATGTGAAGAAGCTCAGTCTAAAAGTGGAAGTAGAGGATCAAACTTAAAGAAAAAGAACTCCCAGGTAGAAATATTTTAACCCTGCAAGCGATAAATGCTCATTTATGTCGACTCGCCTGAACTTCGCAGCCGTCTAACTGCTAGACCGGTACCTGTAGCCTGCCTCCTCCTTCACTCCAGCAGTGGAATGTCCCTTGACACCCTCACATCGTATACACCGTAGACCACTGGAGCAGAGGCAGTGAGCCTGCAGGGACCAGTCTAGCAGCCAGCTGGCTGTGAGGTTTAGGTGAGTATGTCTCTTATTCTTGTCTCTAGACAAAAATGAGCACTTAACCCTTGCAGTGTGGAGGTAGCCCCACTGCAAGGGTTAAGTATATATCTGCCTGGAGTTCTTCTTGAAGGACAAACTGTTGGGAGTAGACTGAATTCTGCACAAAGGCCAGTACCAAATAAACATCTAAAAGGTAAGAAATATATTTTTTAAATGTATTTTTAGGTATGATGTGTAAATGGAAACGCATAACAAACATATAGAGGGATTTTCTCTAATTTGACTGCAAAAGTGGAAATACACACCAGAAAGGTGTTTTGGTGATCTGGCATTAATTTTCATAATGCTCTTCAAATGTTTCAGCATTTGAAGAGCTTCATATTAAAGTTGAAAATCTAAGATTTCATCCTTCGGGCAGCTCAAATGGTGTTGCTGCCTAATGTAAAGAATGAGCTAGAAGCTATTTTATCCCTAGTGTTGCTTACAAAATGAAAGAACACATTCAACCAATTTGTATAGAAATCTCTCCACTTCCAGAATTTATGGATCAAGCAAAGTGTCCCAAATATGACCATACTGTTCATCCTATATATCAATGCAATAATAATGAAATGTGGATTATTTACTTTGTGCTGCAGGTGAGAAGCATGCTTTACAGCGACAACAATCTGTGCCTCAGCAGACATCTGCTGCAGTGGTGAACAAGCTGGCAGACCAAGTCCTCGTGAACACTGCTGGATTGTCTGAAAGAGAAGCATTTCGGCTAGAGAAATTCAGACAGCTTCTTGCTGGTCCAAGCACCGACCTTGGTAAGTGGATTCTGCTTTGGTAAACTAAGGTTTTCAGACGTATTGTGCAAATGAGAATAGTTAACTTTTTTTTTTCTGGTCAAGGTTTTATTTTTAGGGTTGGACTTATTAATGTGTGCTTTAGAAAAACTGCTTTTTTTATGCCATCTATGTCCCATAAAGGAAATTTCCTTTCACTCCTGGTCCTAAAGATGAAACAGGAACCGGAAAGAGATCTCTTCAAAATGATGTCACCTGAGCAGGGATTCCCATGGGAACATTTCCCTTCTCTTCCTGTTCCGGTGTCAACTGAAAACTTTCCATCACTTTTAGTGCTGGGGACTATGGCTATGAGTAGAAATAGAAACTCCTTAGTGTGAACCCAGACAGCAAAAAAACTTGAGAGGTTCCATCTCATATATATATATATATATATAATCTCATCAGAAGCTGTGCATTAAAAAAAAATGTTTTAATGCACAGCTTCTGATGCTGCTTATGTTTACCACTCTGTTCCCTTACCTTAATAAATAAAAGAAGCCCTAGGTAAGCTTTAAGTAGTTGTGGTCAAAGCTTGCACAGGACAAATACATTATTTTCCACCCTATGCTAATATGTACTTACTGATGGGTTGCTCAGGCACCCTTTGCTGTATAATGGAAAACAGGGCGGTTAGTCACATGCTCCCCATACCCAGAACCTGGATGTTTGACTTAGGTGGGGTGGATGGAAAATAATTACAAGCAGGAAGGGCGAGGAAGTATTGTAGTAAGCCTGTTGCTTTGCGTTGCATGGACAAAGCATATGTTCACTTTAAAGTAGTCTTCTAGACAAACAGGTAATTACACAGCTAACATAGTTACATATAAAGTACTTGATCTGCTAAAGGGATTGGGAATTCTGTTTGGCCATTTTTGTGATTTCATATACTTCAACCAAGCTGCATAGGCTTGAGTAGGCTGAAGGTGCAGACCTTGGAAAAGCTAAAAGAGAAATTAGGGTTCTCATGTGCATTATAGTGGATTGTGTTAGGCCTTGTTCACACCAAGTGCGGAGCAGGTGCAGAGAAGTTGCAGACCGGATCAAAACTGCGTCCAATGTATTCCAATGGTATTTTTTTGCTCCAGTTCACATCGCAGCGTGCAGTTCCAGAGCAGGTGAAAAAACTGCAGCAGGCCCTATTTTACCTGCTCTGGATCTGCAAACACATGCAAATGCCTGGAATGCACCGAAAGCCCATGTTAAACTAAAAAAACCAAAAACGGCCCGGAACGCATCAAAAACGCGGCACAACCCACTGCACTGCGTGTGCAGAAACCTGAGCAGACCTGCTCTGCATTTGGTGTGAACAAGGCCTTAGAGTTGTAAGAACTACAAGCCTAGTTTAGCAGAAATATAAATCCTTCGGGAGGAAAGACAGTTGAAATGTATGTGATTGCATCTGTGTTGTTTAGCGGTTTGCCTAGGTTCTGCTTAAAGCAAATCTTTTAGGGCAAAGCATGGGTTTGCTCTAACACCCCGTCCCACTCCCCAGCAACGTATACTTAACCTTTCCTCGATCTCCTGCCCTGCTGGTCTGTTGAAGGGTATTTTAACCCTTGCAGATTGCTGCATATATTGCTGCATATATCTAATGCTAGGTAGATATATGCAAAAACATAAAAAAAGTTACCAAACAGGTTTAAACTGACCTGTATCTCCGCCTTGCGCTCCGTTCCGAAGAACTGAAGATTCTCGGGCGGCCACAAAGGATCATGGGGCGGGCGCATGTGCAGTACAGATCTTTGGCCGGTAGACGAGGAGAGACACAAGGTAAGTCAATGCAGGCAGCCCAGCAACCGTAGGACACAGAAGACTCAGCAGTTAGCGCTGGATCAGAGACCATCACCTGCACTGGAGGGACTTGTGGAAGCTGCAGGAAAGAAGAAGATGATTGGATCAAGAGGCATCATTTAAGGTAAGTGCATACACAAGCATTGGGGTGGGAAGAATTTCTTTTTTTTACTTTAATGTAACTTTAGGTGACAGCAGTATGGAAGGGCATTTGACTCCATCCATGTGATGACACTGATCCAATCAGCAATGTTACACAGGGAGGCCATAGCCCTTTGTACTCTGGTGACATGTGGCTTACCAAGGGCTTTTACTCTTGGCAGCTGAGTGGAGCAGTATGGGAGTGAAAGGAAGGTAAGTATAGTCTACTGTGGAGGGGGGAAATAAAGTAAACCTGTTACTTTACCCTGCATGGGCGAAGCACAGGTTCACTTTAATTTAAGTTTTTGAAAGGAGCATTAAAAGCATCAAGGTCTTTTGCATTTTTGTGGCCTTGTAGAAATGTATTCAGAGTTTTTAAACTAACAAAAGATGTGTTTTTAAAGTTGGCTGTGTATTAGCTTTTTGAGCAGACTTTCTCTGTGCTTTCTTTTAAATATCTTCTTTTTGTATGAAAGCTCTTGACATTAACATTCCTACTGATTGAAGGAACAGTCTTTTTGTATTTTGGATACCTAGAATGGAAATATAGCACATACAAATGATTAGAAATACAGGCCTATTTAAATGCAACAAGCCATCAGGAACCCATTATGAGCTGACTTTTTACAGAGAATCCACATTTGAATGTAAAAGAACATCTTGCTTTCACTGTATTGAGATATATGTAAAATACATTTACGTTATGCTTTCAAATTATTTGTCAAAGCTTATAGTTGGCTAGCTTTCCTATTTTTTTCTTTTTTATTATTATTTCAGTAGGTTATATATTATTGTAATACTTGCACATGCACCTCTGTCTGCTAAACACTGAGCAAGATTACAGGAATGGAAGGTCTGATTATTTTTTATGTAGCACAGTCATCTACTAAACCATTGCAGAATCCATTTGGATAAGAGTTGCAAGTAACATGAAAGAAAAAAATTCCATCCTGAAGGTTTTTATTGTAGAGATTATACTTGCTTTGTGTTTCTTGATAAATACGCCCTATTGGGCATACAAAGGAACACATAGGCATAGAAATGTTTTTGTATTGTGTCAATTAAAAAGGATAGTGGACATATCTCCCAACTTTGCTTGTATAAAATAGATATTTATAACTTCTACAGGTATACAACTGAGAATCCTATCAGTACTAAAATGTATTCGGTAAACCTCTAAAGCCATATTCTCTTGACGTTCTCTGCTTTTTGTTTGCATCTATATGTACAAAGTGCATTTATTGATTTTTTCCCATTTAATATGAATGGGGCTGTCTGCAAAAATACATTTGCATGCTAGTCTATGATGCCTAGTGTTTTGGTAGAACAGGAAGAGTTATGTGGCATGGCTGAGGAAATGGGTGCTATAATAGAATGGTGAAATGCTTGTGCTTTTAAATGGAGGAGATAGGCTCTTTTATGGCTTTGAATTCTGAGCTTCGTTATCTGTGGTAACGGCAAAACACAACACTAATAAAAATACATTAAAAAGTTGCACTAAATATGTGTTTTCACCCCATTTTATGTTGTCTCAGTCCTTTTCCACTTGGCCTTCCATGTTTAAACCTGATGACCTCTAAGTCCCTACCCTTGCAAAAATAATCAGTCAATTAATTGCTAAATGTGATGACTAAACTTCTACTATATGCACATTTTATATTGAGTTACAATAAAACTGTTAAATATTTGATTTTTAAATCCCATAAATAATGCACACAAAATGTCTCTCAATATAAAATCTAATGCTTTTGAAACACTATTAAAACATTGGTGCAGGATCGAAAAAAAAAAGGTACTTGGAATGAGTGGTGCAATGTCTTCAGCATTACAGAACAAGCCTAGTTGCATGTGACTAACTACTGCTTGCTATATCATTACCTGGATCAATGAAAACCTTTACAACATGGTGCAAAATGTATAAATCACTTTCAAGACTATGCATCATTTGTTTACAAGTTAAAAAGCAAAAACTTAAGATGTACTGTCAGATTTGGAGTACTTGCAAAGGTTACCATGAGAGAAAGGATACTTGTTTTGCCAGGATCAAGGGTCTCCTGCTGTTTGCTCATACTACATGCTTTGCCCCAGCATTACATACAACGTGGCCACACTAACATCCCATCTTCTGTGCACCACTTAACCCTAGTGTCCATCACTTCACCCCATGTCAGTTTCACACTATTCTGCTGTGTCTGTACATAGTGCAATCTTTCTACCCATTATGTCCACTCCATTTTTGCTAACTTTGTCCTGAAAACGTATGTCCACTTTGTGTAGCATGGAGCTGTTATCGCTGGAACATGCCAAACTCAGATAAGTTTCCATATTGTGGAAGTATGCTGTGCATACTTGCCTATTATTGCACGTGGTCCCACCACACCCCCATCCCTCAGTTCCACTTTAGGCTTCGTTCACACATAGCAGTAGCGTTTTCTGCCTGTGTTTTTGCACAGAAAACCACGTGGAACAAAACTTGTTCCACGTGGTTTTCTTCTTCAGAAACGATTTACTATCAAGCAGTTTCTGAATGGGGAGGAGCCTCTGTACAGAGTGCTTCTCCCCATTTGGGAAACTCATGAATGAATAAGAAGTGATGTAAATCACATCCTGTTCATTCATAACTGGGGACACAAGTACTAACACTGGAGTGATCAGCTGATCGCTCCAGTGTTTGTCCTGCACAGAGGTCTGGTACATATGACTCGTATGTACCGATCCTCTGCTGCTCTGCCACGCACAAAGGGGGGCTCAGCTTCTCCTCTGAATCTCTGCTGCTTTCCTGGGCAGAGGCAGAGGGGGATCCGAGCAGAAGTGAGGAAGGCACTGCACCCGGGGGGGAGGGGGGAGTCTGAGGACGGAGCCGTTGTCACAGCAGCATGTGCGGTGAGGAGAGAGAGAGAGAGCGCCGGCTGTCAGATCCAGGCCGAGCGGCCCTCTCTCTCTCCTCACTGCTCGGCGTGCTGCTGATGATAGCGGCTCCGCCCCCCGCCGCTGCCTGCAGCGCCTCGATCACTTCTCGGATCCCCGCTGCATACAGATGGGGAAGA